TCTAACCTCAACCATTCTGTGATTCTGTGAGAAGTCTAATTCTCATTGGTGAGTGAGCATGCTGCTGCTCTGTCACCTCCAAAAGCTTGTTACTTGTAAGTCCAATTTAGGCACCTGCAGCAAGCTAACAGCAGTCTCAGAGACATTATTCAACTTCCCCTTTGGCTATGCAGACAGATCTCTCTGTAAGCTACTGATGAATACAAATTTAACTTTTGTCAAAGTAAGTGTCCACGTGTGCTGCTTCACACAATAACAGATGATCTCTTGTATTCTTTGTTTGCTGTGTGAGGCAGCAAGTATATGGAAACTTCCGTTGCTGGTATGCTTAGGCTTGTATTAATGTACAGGCAGTGGTATGAAATTGAACAAATTTAGCATTCAATTCAGAGTGAGAATAAACTTTGAAAATGAGGTGTCAAAAGACTTGAGAAAGGTCTAGAGATGAGTCCAGTCTCCTAACACAAAGCTTGTAAACAGGTTGAGGAGAAGAGGAGGAAAGGATGCTTGAGTAGTTGATGAGTTGAATTGGTGAGGGCTCTAGAATAACCTAGATTTGAGAACTTGCATGTGGAGTTTGGCTGGAGCTTTTCACTTCCCTATGCTATGGAAACTAGGGGAGGTTGAGGTGCGTAACGCTTCAAAGTTGTTTTGTGAAATCAAATGTTATTTGAGAGGTATGGAGATAATTATGATGTTCACAGTGATCTAGGCTTTTGTAAAGAGAACTATTTATGTTGCAAATGGAAGTCTGCTCTTTTTTCTGGTTAATTAAAATTTCAAGCGCTTTTTTTTTTTTAAACTGGAAAAAAGATCTTAGTTGGAATTGTCAGGAGAGATGGAGCCAATTCCCTGTCTGCACCCCTGTCTGTGTACTTTCCTCTCTAGAGGAGAAAGTAGTAAAGGCAGAGTGTATTTGGGATGTGTCATATAGAAGAAATGTGGTGTCTGGAGCATACCCGCACTGTTTGGAAGAAGTACAAGGTATCTGGCAATGCCACACATTGGAGAGGGGTTTTAAGGCTGCCTCATCCATCTCATGCTGAGTAAATATAAAGCTGATCTTAATACCGTCTTGCTGGGAAAGATGAGGCAGAATCAGTATTTTAGACAGCTTGGCCTTGATGTTTCCTGATCTTTGGAAAGTTTGACTTGAGATTCTTGATTCTAAAGTGTGTGCATGGAGCTGTGTTCTGACTTTGGAGGATAAACTTGGGGAAATGGTGTGTCTTTTCATGCACTTAGAAAGTATCGTCTTCATTTCCACCTTGCTACTGAGAACTCAGTGTTGCATTTTTCTGGTATTTTATCCTTATTCCTCTTTAAGGAGATCTTAG